CCCAGAGTCTTTCTTTGTCCGCAAGCTTTCGTGAAAGGCAAGCAACGTAACACGAACGTAACACTAAAGGGAGTAAAAGAACGTTTCGCTCCCTCTCCCCCCTCCCCCGCGCCGTTTTGCCGGGCTTTTTTCCGCCATCAAACACGAGAGACTTCCGATTGGCCGAGTTTAGTCGGTCACCAATTCCCGGCGTCGCCGTCGGATAACGTGTCGTAAAACACAAATTTTTTCCGTCGGCCCTGGCACCCCCGTTCCACGCCTTTATTGGCACTCGTTCTCATTCGTTTTGGAAATCGATCGCTCGTGCCTCAATATCAGATAAGCCTTTTGCAACGGAAAAATCAAGAGATATGCATTTGATAATGAACACGCGAATGCTGTAATCCTCATCGAGATTTGTTTCATCTGATTTCATATTAATTGCATACCGGTAAAAACCAATGATACTTAATGTTGAAATTTGCCCCTGTTTTCTTAAGAGACTTAAAATGTCAATTTTTTAATGATTCACAGAGATATCGCGTGAGTCTCTACTTGCAAAACGAGATCGATAAATATAGTTAATGAGCTTTAAACTTCAGCTTTCAATCAGGAAATCTAGCTAATTATAACTTTACTTGTTTGTGATGAAAACGTGTAAAACTATCAAATATTAAATCAATTTAGTTTTAGATAAACAAAATATGTATTAACAGAATAGAAATAACAAATAAATACAAAAATAATAGAATTATTTCAAATCAAAGATTTCTGAAAAGCCTGAATTGTTCTGTGCATTAACTATTAAAATTTTATAACAATAAAAATAAATTTCAATTTTACGTGACTAAAATTACTAGAGTTTAATAATAACAATAAAATAATATTTATCGTTTTTTCAATCAGCAATCGAAATATTATCTGCTACCATATTTGTTTTATGCTGTCGAGTGATATGGCACGTGGCACAAATAATTTGTTTGTACCTCGATTATTTTTATCATTGGCGATAAATAAATCTCCATTACGCTTCAATTATGATAAGAAATTATGTTATTAATCAGCATAATAATTAAATGTTACTTCTGCATTACTGATGCAGCAAAGAATTATAATGCTGTCTTGAATGCTTAGAAAAATCAAAAGTTTTTGGAAAAAAGATTTTAAACTGCAGATTAAATAAGTCTATATAGATTGTATCTAAAACAAAATTTTTTAAATTAATATTGATTATATATTGATTTAAAAAAAGATTATGTAATGTACATATAAAGTTTTAAGCAGAATTACTTTTTATTGCAAACATTACACATATATTTTGCGAGTATTCACAAATTAATGGCCGATATTATATAAATTATCATAATATAATTGCTTTTTGTAGCATCTTGCAATTCTGTCAAGATTTCAAAATGCGTCTTTATATACGCGTCTCGCATCCGTTATTGCGTACCGGTAACGCTGCGATCGGAGAACACCGGGATTACTCGCGGGATTCTGCCCGGCGGCAAAAGCCGCCTTAATGCAATTCCGAACACATTTTCTTAGTTGGTTCTTCTTGTTTTACTGTGAAAATCCTCGAGGCCGTTACGTCGGTAACGATAGAACCGGCACGGCAGGCTGTTACCGCCACATGCCGCCATAATATCGGGCAAAAGTTTTCTGGCCAGCAGGAGAAAATAATTTGATATGACTTGCCGTTGTGCAGGTGGAACTTCGAAGGAAACGGAGATTCTCCAAAGTACAATTATGAAGCCGATGTTACCGCTATTGCCGATTAAACATAGTGTTGCGATACAGAAGATACCAAGATGTCTGATTTTATTAAAAATTATTATGTAATAATATCACTAACAATTTATTATAAAAATTTCAAATTTAGTTATTTATTATTAATTCTTTATAATTAAGAAAATAAAAAACTTATGAATATAATTAAATTAGAAACAATGGCTTTAATGAATAAATGAAATATAGTGAAAATAGCCTAAGAGAGCCGACACGAGTATTGGTGTTTTTGTGAATGTAATATTTTTGTAAAGTATTTAATTAAAACTTCAATTCAATTCAATTAAAACAAGTGTAAAGTATTCAATTAAAAATTTTATATATTTTTTATACTGATACTTATTGTATCTTAATGACAAATAAAAAAAATAAAACATTTTTGTGTACTATCTTAAATTATATTAAATTGTATTATTTATTTCTTTATGTAATAATACATAAAATTTATAATTAATAAATATATCTTTGTTTGGTTTTCTTATCGTCATGTAATTCGCACAATTTTGCGCTCGATATGTACAAGATGAAAAAGAAGTAGAAAGAAAAAAGGAAGCAAAATCATAAAATCGCATTAAATCTTTTGCAAAAGCTGCATAAAGAGAGCTATATCGCAAGAAAGAAAGTATAGTTCGCGCTCCATATTGAGTGGAAAAGTTAAGAGATCGCGAAGACGATTTCTTCTCTGCGCCCTTGCGCCTCTTCCCCTTTGTCTCTTTCCTATCCCTTTCTCACTCTTGTGCAGCCTCTTTGTCCGCAACCCTCAAAGACGCTCGTTTAAGCGTCCGATTTCCCCTCATTCCCCTCCCAGAAGTCTCTCCCGCGTTTCGTTCTATCTCACTTATTCTTCTCACGACTTCCCATTACGACGCGCCAATGGTGAGTTCCGAGGCTTATTAAATTGTAACAATTTTAATTAGAGAAGCACCGTTGACCCCTCCCCTACACTCTTCCTTCTCCCGTTCCACGCTGCTTCTATACAGTTTTGTTTTCTTCGTGTCTAAGCGTAGCTATCTCGCAATTAAAGGTATTCTTTTCATCTCCAGTACGTAAAGCCGGATGCCAACTCAGGCATCCTTTAGTTTCCTTTTTATAAATTAGTGCCACCTGCGCTAACATCATCTTTTCATATTTATCGAATAGGCGCGAGCGTCCAGAGAGTCATTCGTAGCACACGGCGCATGACCCGTTTTCTTTCATGTTTAGTGAAACTTTAGGCACACTAACGAAAATGCAACGATGATGTTCGAATTTTTTTCACTAAGCAAGTTCAATCCATCTCTCAAAACAGCATCATTATTGTGAGAAATTAGGCTTTTCAAAGTTGTTTAGAAAGCACTTTTCGAGATTGAAACGTAAATATAATTTGATACTGCCAATTTTAAATAGACTCTTAATAAATTAAAATTCGAAACAATAAAATATCCATAATTACTTTTAACAACCAAAGAAAAAAAATTAAAAGAACAATAATGTCCTTGATATAGTCATATTTTCTTTATAAAATGTTTTTCTTATTTCTTTCACTGTCTTTTTCTCCCAATCTTTTTTGAAAAATTTAATTTTACGAAAAAATATATTTTAATTTCAGTATAACTATAAAATAAAATGTCTTTAAAAAGTTATTTTATCAAACGTAATGTAATATTTTATTAGAGCTTTATTAATTATAGAAAATCTCTGTATTTTAACGAAAATGACTCATTGGAAACTTTTATCGTGCAGCATTTATAAGATAAAAGAGCTTTACGGAAATGCATAATACTTGTATACTATAGAGAATGATTAACAGGGAGCAATGGTTAAATATTTATGATAACCTTCTTACATCTTATCAAATAAATTTCGAAAGAAAGATTAAAAATTGATTGAATTCACATTTTTTTGATAATCTCAATGTAACAACAGAATGGCAGAATCAAAAAGAAATGTGGAGCATGTTTTAAATTTCCGAATTTTTGATTTTTTGGATTTTTAATATAAAAAATACAGTAAAATTATTTTAAAAATCCATTTTTAAACAACTTGTACTTATTATAAAAAAACAATGTTGTTTAAAAATTAAAAGAAAAACGTACAGGACAAATGAGAGTCTAGCATTGGTAAGGTGCAAAATTAAATCTATAATTACATCTTTAAGAAATCAATATAAGGAAAAATGAGATAATAAGAGTCAAATGCGATACTTGGTGCGTAAAAATTTAATCGTTTATTGGTGTACTTCAAAATCTCCATAATTTGAGCGTTTTGGCTCTGATTCGAGCTATCTTCAGCAATAACAGAAATTTAATAATGTCTCACGTTTTCCACACACATGATAAAGTCTATGGATGTTTCCTAAGACTGTCAATCAGTCGGTTGGTAAACTGAATGATCTTGAACAAGCAAACACTTAAATTAACGACACGATATAATTTGTAATAAATATATCTAAGTTAAACACAGATTAAATGTTAACACTTGCCAAGTGTAGCAGAAAACAGGAGCCAAATATATAACATCATATCAGACGCAAACAACAATTAATTGATGTAAAAAAATATTAAAAATAAAAATTAAGACAAAAGTAAAATTAAAATTTGTAAATCTATTGTATTTTAAAATACATATAATTTCAAATATTTCGTCTCTTCTTCAATCCATCTTCAGTAATAATACCGTATCTTATTATATTCCCCTATTTTCCAAGCTCCAAGTAAAATATTTTTTGTATGCATTTTCAAATAAAACAGACTTAATTTTACGTTCCATTATAACTTGACTCTTATTTACCCTGTACATTTTTCTTTTGATTTTTGTATATCAAGTATCCTTAAATCAATATACCGTATAAAAAATATTATTTCAAAATATCTTATAAATATCTCCTAATTGTATACTTGTCACATGATTTATATTTGCATTATAATTTAAAGCTAAAACAATTGATCTATAATTAGTTCAAACATTGAATATCTCATTAACATTTAATTTTGATTCCGTCACTCAAATTTATTTGATATGTTTATTGTCTAATTTTATTCATCTTTTTTTTTATTATGTAAAATAAACGGATTTTAAACTCAAGATATCTTAAAAATTAATAAGAAATTAGAAATATGTCAAAAGTGTAATTTACGAATTATACACACACACTTTTCACATTGTGAATACACATTATCTACATAATCTTATCATCGTGCGCCAAGCAACCAAAAGTTAGCTTCGTGTATATATAAACCAGCGACAAAAATCGTAAAGCACACTTCCTTGAGTTACAATTAAAAGTATCACTAGCACTTCGAAGGTGAGTACCGACATCATTGTTAATTAAATACTTTGTGTGTTGCATATGTGTGTGTAATTCAAATTTTACCTACAGATTGTATATGTAAAAATTTGGATAATATTATTTATAATGTCTCCATTTTAGTAATTAATTTATTTAGCACTTATTTTTAGCATATCTATTTTATACAAAACTATTTTTCTTTATGTTAATTAAAAATTATATTGTATGATTAAAGAATTAAATATGATTTACTAAAAAATTTATTTTAATTTTACAACACTTTGCTACAAAAATTTTGTTACAGTTAAAGAAATAGCTGCTTTATATAATAATCGATTAGGAATAAAGCATTGATATTTATATATATCATTATATTTTATAACCACTGCCATTATTTAAATATTTGTCCCATACAAAAAAAATTTATTCTTATTTTATTAATTAATTAAAATAACAACTTATTTATATTTTTAATAAATTAATCTAATATGTAGTTTGGTCAGTAACATATGCCAAAAATTGAACGACATTTGCGATTTTCATGAAGATTTACATAAAATTGGATTAATAACTATCTAGATAATGAAACAAATGTTATTTTAAGATTATAACATAAACCATATATGCATCATTAAAAAAATATTTTTTATTAATATAGACAGCAGTAAGTCTAACTTAATAAAAAAAAATTGGTTTGATTTATTATCTAGTCTCAATCCAAACTTGGTTTACAAGACGTTTTAATCGAAAAAAATTGTTATGTCATAATATTATAAGATATATATCGTTCAAAATATATAATGTAGCTCCAGACGCATTAATAATCTTAGTAAAAAAAAATTGGTTTGATTTATTATTTAGTCTCAATTTAAACTTGGTTTACAAGACTTTTTAATGGAAAAAAATCGTTATGTCATAACATTATAAGATATATACCATTCAAAATATATAATGTAGCTTCAGACGCATCAATAATATTAGTAAAATTTATTTTCGCAGATGAAATTCGCATTGGTATTGCTGGCCTTCGTGGCTGCGTCTGCCGCGGCCCCATGGAAAATCCCTAATGTTGGCAGAGGTGAACTTGCAAATGAGCTCCAGGAGTTCTTGAACCTCCTGCCTCAGCAAGAAATAACCGATATCACTCTCCAGTACTATGCCCAGGATGCGGAATTCCAAGCTATGATTCGATACTTCAAGTCCACCGACTTCAAGCAGCTCATACAAAACGTCCGAGCTATACCTGAGTATAAAGATCTGTTGGAGTATGTTTATTACGCCGGTATTGACGTTTACGAGCTACAGAATGCGTTGAACAAATGGCTTGAGATGGCAGCCGTGCAGTCCGACTTTGCCATCGATAAACACATCACTGGCGGAATCCGCGGATACGTCGACGACATCAAAGCCGCGATTCGTCCCGTTAAAAATCAACTTACCGAACTCTACAAATCCAAGATGCAAAATTCCAAAGTATTCCAAGATTTCATCGCGCAATTGAAATCCCCGAAATTCCAGCAACTGGTCAACAAGGTTCATGAACACCCGAAATTCCAGGAGCTGTTGAAACACGCTGAAAAAGCGGGAATTGATCTTAAGTTGGTCAGAGACTTTCTGAAGGCTATCCTCGGCCTTGATTTTCCTTCATATTCTGTCTTTCAATATTAGATGTCATCGTTATATAGTAACAAAAATAATAATTAAATCAATGCAGTAAAATGAATTTTTTCTTTACGCTAATTACATATATATGTCAATAATGTTTTTATCTAAAAAAAATATTATAAATTATTCGGCACGTAATTGTACTTTACTTGTGCAAAATAATAAATAAGAAGCTTCCTGTTTTATGCATGTATTACATTTTTTTATCTAACAATCAATCTTTTCCTATATCCATAAGACGAAGAAATGTAGATATTTAGATATTATTTTACATTTGATACGTGCATACATCTTATTTCAAAAATTTATTTAAAATTTGTAATACTAAAAATTAAGAAACTTATTAAAAGTATATAATATATATTTTTTTTATATAAGTACTTCTATATATAATTAATTTTTAATTAAAATGGTTATACATTTTATACTTTCTTTGTAATACGCTTTACTTTCTTCATTGTCTTTTTCTTTGTTAATCTTTTTAGAGTTCAATAAAGAATTTACGGAAAAATATTTTAATTTTTTAATAACTATTAAATAAAATGCCTTTAAAAATTACTTTAATAAAATGTAATGTTTTATCAAAAATTTATTAATTATAGAGATTATCTACATTCTCTACAACTCTTTCTATAATCTCTTTATTTTAACAACAATGAGAAAGTTTTTGGACTTATTAGAAACTTTTATCATGCAGCATTTGTTAGGTATAAATAAAATTTTCTAAAAAGTATAATACTTAAATACTGCAGACAATGATTAACACACGGAATGGTTAATTTTTCGCGATAATCAGTTTGCAACTTATCGAATAAATTTTGAAAGAGACAAATTGATTCACATTACATTCTTTAAAGAAATGTAAAGTATGTTTTTAACTTTTTAATTTTTTGATTATTAATGTAAAAAATACTATAGAACTATTGAGAAAATTCATTTGTTTAAACCCTTGTTCAAATAAATAGCAAAAAAAACAATCTTATTTAATTATACATTTTTCCTAATCACATACTTGTCATATGATTTATATTTGTATTATAATCTAAAGCTGAGACAACCGCTGTACCATTAATATATTTAATTTAATTTAATTTGATTTATTACGTGTAAACAAGTTTACACATGATAATTATATCCATATATGGGAATGAAAATGAACATACCAATACGCAATTGGTAAGGCGCTAGTATTATATATGTAAGTATTATATATAGCTGTTATGTCCACCAGATACATGAAACACTATAACGCACAAATAAGAAATAATAAGAGATAGACATACATAACACGCAAAATTTACGCAGAACAAACGTAATCAATATGCATCTAACGCATATTAATTACGCATTTACACACACGCCATTATAAAACATGCACACTTAAGGGGGCATATACACCTATAGACACGTCAAAACAAGGTCTAACTTAACGAATTTTTTACGGAAAAACGAAAAAAGATAGAGAAGTCGAGTTTGATTCATTGAAAAGATCTTTTTTTTTTTAAATATATATATTTGATTAAAAAATGATTTAAAAAATGGCTTTGCTATTTAAGTTTTTCTTAGTTGTGTTTTGAAAACGGCTTTTGCGACGATCACTGCTACTCTTATAGGACTCATTTGAAAGCAAAATGCAACGAGTTATATAAAGTTAAAACATTGATCTAGTTCCTTACGTAGCCGTTTTTCAAAATATTGCATTTGAACAATATGGCAGCTGGTTAAAGTCAACAGCATTTATTGTTTTAAATCTTGCTCGTTTTTTGGCTGCGAAAAAAAAACGAAACATCGTACAAAAAATTTTACGTAGGGAACTAATTTTTAATGTCTAGAAAAAGCGTGTAAAATTGCAAATTAATCGGTCAAATCATTTTCGAGATATAGTGGTCACGCGTTTTGAAAATTACGATAAAAACGCGTTTTAAGTTTTACATTCAGATTACACTACAAAAATATTAAAAATTTTATTTACATTGAATCATCTACTCCATGGCCATAAAGCAAACTCTCTGCTGAAGCGAATGCTTCCAAAAAATCGCTTTACGATCCGGTCGCAGATACGTTGACGCAACAGATCATGTTTGATGTGTCAAGCATGATCTGAGCACGCTCAGCGTGTTCGACCCTGCTCAACTATAATTTTGTGTAACTGTTTCATTTTTTGTTGATCGACTTAAAACTTAAAAAAAAAAACATTCTTAAGACTTCAAAAATGTGTATTAAAAAAAATCGATTTTTTTTACCTTTCTAAGTGTATATGCCCCCTTAATATAAACATTAAAAATCTTATAATCAATATTTAATTCTGATTCCATTACTTGTTTGATACGTTCATCCAATTAAATTATAATTATGATTTTTTAAATGTAAAATAAAGAAGTTTTAAACAAGGTATTTTGAAAGTTAATAAAATTAAAATATATAATATTAGAATGTTAAAACTATAATTTATGAACGATTAAAAAATGCAAATCATTAATCGCGATTTCTTGATATATTATACCATTATACATTAAAAAATTGACTGTTTTTATCATTATTCATATGGTAAATATTCCGTACATGCATTTATTTAATAATTATAAAATACATACAAATCATCAATTTAAAAAAATGACATTATTTAAATTTTATTTTTATCATAAATTTTAAAAATAAAAAATTATTTACATTTTTCACATCCTGTATTCAGATTGTCTACATAATCTTATCATTGCGTATCAAACAAATAAAGATTAGCTTTGTATGTATATAAATCAGCGACAAAAATCGTAAAGCACACTTTGAGTTTATAAGTAGAAATAGCTCAATATCGCAATCGAAGGTGAGTACCTACTAATATCATAGTGATCTGCAAGTAAATTACACCTGGTGTGATTTCAGTTTTTTATTTATTATTATTTCGTCTCAATCCAAGTTAGTTTATAAGATCGTTGCGCAATTATTATAGCATATTTATAGCATAACATTATAAAATATAACGTGCAAAATATGTAATATATCTCCAGATATCATTTAAGCAAAATTTATTTTTGCAGATGAAACTTGCATTGGTACTGCTGGCCTTCGTGGCTATGTCCACCATGGCCCAACGGAATCCCTTCAGCCCACTCGCGCAGGAGCTCCAGGATTTTGTGGACCTCCTGCCTGAGCAAGAAATATATTCAATTACTCTCAAGTACTATACTCAAGACGCAGAATTCCAAGCTATGATCCGATATTTCAAGTCCTACGGTTTCAAGCAATTTGTGAAATACATCGAAGCTTTGCCTGAGATGAAATGTCTGATAGAGTATCTCTATGACGCTGGTCTTGAAGTTTACAAGTTACAGGATCTATTGAATAATTGGCTTGGAATTACGCAGACCAACTTTGTCATCGATAAAGAGATCACTGGTGGAATCCGCGGATACATTGACGACATTTCAGCTGCCATTCGTCCCGTTAAGGATACACTTATTGCACTCTACAAACACAAAATGAAAAATTCCAAAGTGTTCCAAGATTTTGTCGCGCAATTGAAGTCCCCGAATTTTCAACAACTGGTCTACAAGGTTTATGTACACCCCGAATGTCAGAAGATTTTGGAAAAAGCTAAAAACGTGGGAATTGATCTTGAGAACATACTGAAGAAACTTTTCCCCATCGAAGTTCCTCCATATCCTATCTTCTAATATTAGATGTCATAATAAAAAACAGTTAATCTATATTCAGTAAAAAGAATTCTATTGCTAAATACTCATCATTAACGTTTTCATAAATCTGAAAAAAATATTACGAATTATTTGACCACGCAATTATGTATTTCACTTGTGCAAAATAATAAATAAGAAGTTTATCTTCTTACGGATGTGTTACCCTTTTTTTTTTAGTTAAGTCTTTTCTTATATTATAATACAAAAAAATGTAGACATTTAGATATTACTTTACATTTAATACGTGTATACACTTTATTTAGAAAATTATTTAAAAATTTAATTTATTGGATTGCACTTTCAATCTGAATTTAGTTAAAAACGTATAGGCTTAAAATTCTATTTTTTTTATCATATTCACATTATTAGGATAAATATTACAAAATTTTAAATTTTAATTAGAATAAACAAATTTTTTTTATTACATGATTATATAATAACTACATATAACTAGCTTGTAAAAAAAACAATAAAGACTGCGTGGTATTATCATCTACAAGTTATATTGTTGTGACACAAAACTAATTTGAATGAAGCACATGCAAAATAAAAATGGATTGAAAGAGATGAAATTAGGAGTGGAATATTAAGGAGAATTTATTGGACTAAAGTTTATAGGTAGAAATGATGTAACAAGTGCTTTTTTATATTGGCATTCAAAAGAAAATTAGTTTTTTATTCCAATTTTTATGTTACATAGAACAAATAAAATAATTTCTTGATTATAAATTAATAAAATTATTATTTATAATTTGAAAAAAAATTATTGCTTGATTCAAGAATTCTATTATATTATTATTAACAAATCAATATCAATAGCATCAACATATAACAACATAAAAAGACACGTTTAAAACGTGTGCTTTCAAAATATTACACATACTAATTTTATAAACTTATATCTTAAGACCGATTACTCTAATGATAAGTTTTCCCAGTTCCACCAATTCCAATCCATTTTCTATGGCCGTATTAATAAAATTTTGATAAGTTTGATTTGCCAATAGATCTCCCGCTAATTTCTGCATTTCTGGAGATATTAACTTTTCTATAAAATCAGCGAAGACCTTGGAATTCTGCATTTTTTCCTTGAAAAGAGCGTCAATCTTGTCAGTAGGTAGAAGGTTATTAAGATCCTTGATCATTCCTATCATTCCATCACCAATCTTCTGTATTCCAATTTGAGATTTGCCCTTAATTTTATGCGGTACGTAAGCTTGCATTCCAATAGTTTTGACAGAATTGATAACGTTCAATACATTCTTCTCCATATATGCTACTATTGCTTGATATTCTTTAAGAGCTTCGACTTCGCGCGTTATGGATTCAAATTCAGATGAAAACAGGTATTGCAGAGCATTCTGTACTTTTTCATCTTCTTCTGCATACTTGATCGCTATATTAATAATTTGCTCTATCGGAAGAAGTTGTACAAAGTCCATCATTTCTTCCTCCAATGTACGCTCTTGGTAAACAGAAGCATCGATCTGTACAAACAAATAAAATAATTTGTTGATGAGAAGTAATAAAATCATTATTTGCAATTTGGAAAAAAATTGTTTAATTCAAGAAATTCTATCATTCTATTGTTTGGTATTATCAACAAGTCAATATTCATAGCATCAACATATAACAACATAAAAGTACACGTTTAAAATGTGT